ACTTGGCGAGCGCGAGGTCTTGCTCGTTCTCCTCAACGAACCGAAGGCGAAACTCGGAGAGGAATAGGTTCCACCGAGGGAAGGGGAACGGGGTTTTACTTCCATGACGCTCTGCCCACTGCTGGGCACCATATAGGACATCGCGTAGCGGACGGCCTTTTCTTCGCTCGGCTCTCCGTTGACCACGAAGGCCTTCGGGGCAAGCCGGGCGTAAGTCTTGACCGCGTATAGGAAGGCGCGGCCACGTTTGCGATCTCCGTTAAACACCCGTAGCTGTAAGATTTAGCCTTCAGCCCTAGGTACAGGTAGGAAAATGGTTGCCGGGGAGGGTAGCTGTACCTAGGCCTATCTGCACCTAGCTCTCCAAGCCCTTTTCTATCTAATAGGCAGATAACTAAATAGCATCAATGATGTGATAAATGGGTATAGGATACATATAATTTGATAATAATATATATATAATACTTTTAACTCCTTTTCTTCAGGCCGATGACCCGGATTATAGTTAGGATGGCCTGAATCAATAACAATCCTAATTAGGACAAAATTGATGTACTATGATATAGCCATCAAAAGTACTGATGGCCATCAAAAATGGTTCCACATTAAAAACATTACTCAGATAGGGGCATTGTCACAACCCATAGGATACTAGATAAAGAATAATAATGTATTCTTTTAAACAAGAATTTCACATATGTCACATATGTCACATATGTCACATATGTCACACATATGTCACACGTTATAAATCGTCACATTTGGCTCTAATAGAGGTATGTAAAAGGCTACCTAGGTACAGCTACCCTCCTAGGCAAGCGTTTTCCTAGCTACACCTACTGGTTTTAGGCTATATATTACCACTACGGCTCCGTTAAACGCAAATGGGGGGTTTGGCCGTAGGACCAGTTTTGAGGCGACAGTAATGTCACCAAATAACACATCCGCGTCGGGGGCATTCGGAGATGCCAAAGGCGGTTCAGGAGCTGCCGAAGGTTGTGCGGCAGCGGAAGCCTGGGAAGCAAGGTGGGTGAGGATATTGGTGAGGTTGTCTAGTTTCGCCTCAAGTGCGTCCATGCGCGCGTCAGCGTCCGGAGCAGCTCCGGTAGACATAGCGGGCGTAAAGACGACGAGAGCAGAGGAGGAGGGGTCAAGTGGCAGGGGCGGTGACAAGGGGGGTACGGACTCGTACTCCGAGCCTGAATCAGCGCCAAACCTGGCAATCTTGACCGGTTAATCCCGTAGAGAGTTTCTTCTGCTGTAAGGGCAACCCTGGAGACTCCGACGAAAGCCTAGCAGGGGAGGATCCAAAGCGTGAATAAAAGCTACGGGAAATACACGGAGGGACCGACCTAGCAGGGGAGGATCCAAAGAGAAGAAACTCTAAGGGTCCGCCTGCTAGGGCACCAACTATATACTGGTCGTCCGTAACTGCCGACGTAGAGCGCAGAAGGCCTGAGCGGCGTCGCAGGCTCTGTCCCAAGGTGATCGTTGGGAGGGTCTTGACGGATCGGTGATTGTGCGGGCGAAGGAGGCCGTGGACGATGGTCGGGGTGGGTCGGAGCGTCCGAGGGGGCGCCGGTCGGATGCACCTCGGATGCGTTCGGAGGGTCCGAAGGAGGCCGAAGCGGGGGTTCCCCTGACAGCTGGATCACAAACACACTGGCAGTGAGTACCGTTTCTCTGTCCTCGAGACACTTCCCTCCATCCTTGTGACATACCCATTTTATATCTTCTCCTTTCGTCCTTGCAACGATCTTCATTTTACATACATTTCGTCAGTCCTTGAGACTGGTCCTTGTGACAATTTGCTGGGTCCTCGAGACATTCTCTTTGTTGTTCTACATACATTTCTTCAGTCCTTGAGACTGGTCCTTGCGACATTTTATTGGGTCCTTGTGACATTCTTTTTGTCCTCGCGACATTTCCCTGCCCTGTTGTCCTCGTGACATTTCCATGTGCGATGTCCTCGCAACTTCACTCCCTTTACTGCTGGTTCTCACTCCATCAACTGCAGATTCACGAATGCTCCTTTGGGCACACACGCCTTTGATATTCAAGCCTTTCTCTGAACCGTTCCCATCCATCCCTACATTTTACTGTTTTTTTTTTTTTTTTCAAATTCTACCCATTGTCATCCTTTTGGCCTCGCTTAGCCCTTACATGGTGTAGGTGATTGCATTGGTATATATTCGTCGCATCTCTCCCGTTAGGGTGTCCGTCGCTGGGCTCGCCCGAACGCGCTATCGCTTTGGGAGCGATGCTCTGTTCGGGCTGTCCGGCTTCGCTTTGGCGACGGACTATGATGCTCAGTCTCGCGTCGCGTTGCCCGTTCGGTGCGTGCAGTTGGGCCTGCTGATCCGAGCCTCTTGTCCTCCTTGCGGGACAGAGCTTTCGGCGGCTGACGGTCACGTGTCCCGGCCGGGCACGCCCGGCACAGTATCCACGCGAAGCTTTCCTATCTCCTTTCTCCCTCATATCCCCACTTTGAGGGTGTGCTCATTCCACTTGCGTTGACTCATCATCTCTGTCTACCCTCACCTCACAGGGCTTCTGCTTCCAGGAGGAGCCATCTTATTCAACATCATTCATAGCATGATATACTTGTAGTATAACAACTGACAAACCACTTTGTGACGTCACATACCAGTTCAAGTCCGAGTCTTATGCTAACTAATAAGCCTAAGTTACCTTAGAGCTTGGGATTTACGCACCTTATAGCAGCTTTATTGGAGTATTTATCACAGCGTAGGGTTTCAGAGCCATCCTCTCTAATTAGAATGACCAGTGGGGGATAATGGTCATTCTAATTAGAGAGGATATGCGGAATCCACAGGTGGACCCATAACAACGGAGAGGGTGATGTCACGGTTCGGGTCGGGCCGCCGGGCCACGGGGCCGCGTGGGGCCGATCAGGCCCACTTGGGCCTGCACGACCGCCATACTCCTCAATGCTCCCCCATTCTTCTAACCCCTTCCCTTCACCCCTGCGGCCCTACGCAGTGCCCATCCGATCCGCCCTGGGACCTGGCGTCCACGATCCATCCCTAATATCTTAGCGTATAACAACCGTACTTACAAGATGTAGTTGCTAGGCTAATATTGTCTATTATCCGGGCTAAAACCCATCTCTTGTGCTCTTCAGACCCTCTCAAAGTCGGACCACTCGACGCCCCGATATGGCCCAAGCCCGACGTTGACAAACGTAATATTAAATAGTAGTGCACCTTTAAGACATTCACATAACAATGCCTTATAGATTATTTATGAAATTTCCCTTTTAAGTAGTAAGACCTTACCTTTAGGACCTTCAACTTAACTAAGCAATTCCTAATTTTGTGCAGTTTGTGTTCGGGGTTCAAGTGGCAGGAAATGGCTAACGGATTCAGATATTCTCATTGATATCAGTTGTAATTGGATGTTGTTGTAAACTGATAGTTGAGATGGGGTGTGAGATTCTTGAGAGGAGCAATATGGCTCAACTCTCCCTAACTTGACTTAACTTGACTTAACTTAACTTAACCTAACTTGAGTTAACCTAACCTGACGTTCATCTTAACCTGATGATATGTGAAGTGTGATAAAACCTGACTGATGTGACAATGGTAGTAGTCACAACTAGGGGGGCTAATCTATTAATCTAGAGTTTTACAGGCCTCCTTATATATACTACTCTCCAAATGATTACATAATCCGTGACAATGTGACCTCATGTGCTGATCCGGTTCTAGAATATTCCAGTTCAGGCTTCTGGAAGGTTCTAATATAGGTCCTGGGTCCTACTTGCCAAATATAGACATGTCATGATGTTATGGTTCAGTTCAGAGTCTAGACCAGGCCCTGGCCTAGAGCAGGCCTAGGCCTTGTGGTCGGGTGCATATAGATTTGATTCCAAGATTTCCAATGTTTATTCTGAAATTCTTCATATGTTGCATAGCTATAAATGAATTTATAGGGTCCATATATTAGTATTCATATAGTGATCATATTGATGGCCCCGGAGGCAGTACTAGTGTCCACAAAACACCTGACCTATGAATTGTGATATGCTGTAATTTAAATCTAGCTGCTGTAAAGGGCATGCAAGCTCCAAAACATATGATTACTGGGCTCACAAAATCACCATAAATCAAAAGAAAAACTTTGGTCCAAAATTTCGAAAAGGTGGCAGACCCTTGATCAAAATCGGACAGTAATACTTGTACTTAAAGTGTTTGACTAATTGTTGATACTTGATTGTTTTTGTTGTTTACACTTCAGGTTGTTTGGCTTGAATTTATAATATACAAGACCTAGCTGACACACCGGGGTTTCTGCCCAAAAATGGGCCCCAAAGTAGGATTTATTTCTGATTAACAATAGACAAAAAAGATGAATATTTCAATGACTTGGAAAGATAACAAAGAAAACTCTAGGAAAGTAGACTTGATTTGTATGGAATTAGGGCATATATGAAGTTATCAGATTGGACATAACTCAAAGCCAATATCAGCTGACAATTTTGCGGCCACAAGTTGTAGCAAATAAATGCACCAAATATGCCACAAGATATAAGACCATATATATCAAAAATCAGGGACAGCACCGAAGTGTACCTGATATGTTTGAAATAATTGACAAATTGCCATTATATATGACTAATCACCTCAGTATATGATAAATTGGGGTAATAATGAAGTGACACTATTTTTTAATAAATATTTGGGCTCCAATGAGGTGCACTTGCTATCTACAAAACATGGTCAGGAAAGAGGGTAGTTACAATATATGCTATATTTGATATCTAATACAGAACTTAATTTCTTGTAAATCAGATACAATTCTTGGAACTTTTATTGCATATTAATTGGAGCAGGAAAAAAGGTTATTGTTTTGGACCACTATTTCTTATATATGAAGCAAGGTAATTTGTACACCCTCAATCAAACTATGTTGTCATAAATGTGACGTGGTGACGGCAGACACGCGGAAGATCTTCCTCGATTTTCACACGAACCTTGACTTTTCCTTCCATGGCCACATCGCCGACCCCGGCGGGTGTGCTCCCGAAGGTCAAGCAGGAGAGTAGCGAGCCCCGCTTACAGACGCCCCCCTTGCCAAATTCAGCCTCAATCCCGCCCACCCATCTTTCATCGCTGTCTCCAGGGTCGGCGCCAGCAACGGAGGAACAGTATCCCGACTACGCTTCACTCAAGACGGCATTTGAGAGAGAAAGGGCGAGCGCAAAGGAATGGAGGACTGTGAGTTCCGTACGCACTGGCGATCTCTCATTGTGCCTGACTCGGGCGAAGACTTTGGAGCGGCGGTTCCTCGAGCTACGGACACGGGAGGGGGCATTGGCCGATAGAGAGGCTTCGTTGGATATAGCGACGGCGCAGTTCCAGGCGCGTATGCCTCTCTGTCTTGGTTCGTATATTGACACCATGCTAGTCTTCGTTGCAGGAGGCACAGGCGCATAATCAAGCTTTGAGGCAGCAAATCGATGTGCTACAGCAGAGTCACGAAGGACTTCAAGCGGTGTGTCGTATATGCCATTCCGGGGTGGCCGGGCGCTAACTGGTGTTAGGCGTTAGTACACAGCAACGAGGAGGCGCAGGCGTCGACGACGGCGTTGCATGAAGTGCTACGAGAGCAACAGGGCCTGCAGAAGGTGAGTTTTAGACTCATCGATGGAAATTTCCTTTCTCAAGAGCGACGTTTAGGCTTTCCATGACGTGCAGACAAGTGCAGCAGCCGAAATCGAACTGCGGGACAAACAGCTGCTCGAAATGGAGGGCCAGATGGACATGGTTGCGACGACGTCTGCGAAGGCTGAGCGTGGCCGGAACAAACAGGTCAATGGATTGAATGAAGTGGGTCTGGACTCCATTTTTCAAGCACCTAAGAGCTGATGTGATACCAGAAATTGGCGACGGCGGAAGAATCTATCCAAGATCTCAAAAACACTATTGAAGCCCATGTCGCGGAGATAACGGTGCTGAAGGAGAGGCTGGTCACTGCAGAAGTGAGTGCATCTCGTAGTTTTCTTCCTATCTCTCACTCCTCTAGTCTCGATCCAATCCTGAGAGCCGAATCAAAGAGCTCAGGGACACGATAAAAAGTCTTATTGAGTCGAACACTGAGCTCGAGGGCGTCATCGAATCGTTGAAGGCAAGTAAGGAGCACGACTTGGCCGTTCAACAACAAGCGCTTGCGATGATAAGCCGAGCGAGAGCACTGGAGGTACGTGTATCATTACAGAAGTGTTTTCGATCTAAACACTTGTCAAAGTCTGGAGAGGTTTTAGAGATTCAACGTCACCGACGCAGACGGTCGTCATCCCCTCCGAGTCAACGGTCGCGTTCACGATCGCGCAGCTTGTTGTCCCCGAGTTTGAAGCGCAGGAGATATCTCTCGCCTCCTCGGCATGACGCTGGTGGCGGTCCTCTTTTCGCCCCAGACGATCCGGAGCCGATATCGGCGCAACGGACTGCCTGCAACTTTTACATGGCGCAGTTCAAGATCCCGTTCAAGTCGCGTCCTGATCATTTTCTCAGAGGTGGATGCGTTGAGCGGTTTCACAACATTCGCCGCTTGTTGGATACGGTATGTGTGTCAATTGGTTAAGCCGAAAGACTCTAACCTGTGTAGGATGCGTTTAGTTCAAGGTTCGACGCCCTTCTCACGATCAAAGCAGTGCACCCACCTATCATCTAGAAAAACGCTCTGCTTGCCCGATCGCACCGTTTGGTGTGGACAGGACCATTTTCATGCTCTCGTATATGCCCCAACGCTCGAGTATAGCAGCAGCGGACCATCGCGTTGGCGTCCTCATACACATCTGAGCGACCTGGTCAATACGGAGGTCAATTTGTTCGTGAGCGAAAAGAGCGCGGTGTATTTTGCGGGGATCTATCGGGTGAAGCGGCTCGACGGCGTGCCAGGGTATGTTCCCGGAAGCTGGTTGAAGGAGGTCGCGGGCGACATCGTGAGTCTGAACCACCCTGTTTCGTGGGATTGATATTTCTGGGTAGTCCTGGAATGCGATGTACGAAGCCATGAACTTGCGGTCAGCGCTCGGGGATCTATATGACGATCCCGTGAGGCGCAATTCGCTTATTCGAGAGGCGTATCCACTTGCTGACGCGCACGGCTGGCCCAGCCCGAGGGTCGACTGTTTTGGCCTGCAGTTCCTCCAGTTTGACATGGAGGTGCAAAAGACGTTGCGGTCCAAGTTTGTGCAAAGGGGCAACGGAGCACGTGCGTCCGGGAATGAAAGATTCATCTGATAGTTTTTGCGGAAGGGTGCGTTGATTTGGATGTACTCTATTTAAGTTGTGTGAATTGAAATGCAGGCTATATCCGGATTCCCGTGAGTCTCCGCACTCCAGGGATAGTATGTGCCGCCGGGAAGGGCTGACATGCTGACCGGATCGAGGGCGGCGTCGAAGACAGCAATTGGCAGGGTTAGGAAGAGTCAAAAACGTCGTCGATGTCCCAGGGTGGTTCCAAGCAAGCTTCGGAGACAGGCCGTCCAGTGCGCAGCGTGTCTGTCAAGACCGTGTCGATCGGACAGCGAATTGTGGTCGCGACAGCCTGGGGACATGCACCTGAGACGCAAACTGCCAACGAGAGGAAGGACCGAGAACGCTCCGAGAGTACATGCGGTAGAGCAATGGGACACTCGCCCGTCGATATGGCGCATGCACAATCGCACAAAGGAAGCTCTCTGTCCGAACGGAGGATTAGCCGAAATTAATTATCAGTAAGCCGGATAAGGCGTGGGAGTCCCCGGATTTCGATTTGGTGTGTGTCACTGATTGATTAGGCCGCCATCAACTGCTCAATGGGCCTTTCCTTGACAACGACGACCGCGATATGTCATTTGGTTTACATATTCACGCCACAGCGAGAGGCTGGTATGTATCGTCAGAAGCGAAGGAACAAGGATTCAGCCTCCCGAGCCCTCGCAGGGCGACAGCAGACAGACTCCCGAGGTGGCCCCGGCATTGAACGTCGTTTTTACCTGCCGTTTGGGGTCGGCCGCCGAGAAGGCTCCTCAAAGCTCAAGCAGTGGGGACAAGTGTATCCTTGGGTGATCTCATGATGTATGTCGCTGGCCCTGCCTACGTATCAGCCACAACTTTGTTTCAAAGCGGATACACCTTGAAGTCCTTCAAGTTGCCTTGCGCTCGCTGGCGCAAAAACACGATGTCTCGGTATGGTGCGACAGACGCCAAGGTTGCCGGAAGGCGTCGCCGATTGCTCCCGACCACACGCATATCTCATCACAATTCGGAAGTCGTTTCCGTCTTTCCCAGTTAATTATGCGGTAATAATTACAATTTAAATAATTTCAATTAGAATTGAAACAAAGCAATCGCAGTTATGACTGAATCTTTTCCACAGAGACCGCGTCCTCCTTTTGCCTTGCATCCGCGGAGCCGGTTTCCGGACATGAAAGCTTCAATTCCTGACAGGAGTTTAATGCGATAGATGAGCGCCAGCTCTGGCGTTCTCCGTATGGTCATTGCTTCCCCCACATTGTGCTGCTGACAGATAATAGGAAACGGAAGATTTTTTGGAGGCCCAAGGCGTTTTGTACACGAGGACGATAACCACGTCGACTTCCTAGGTAGAGTGGTGGGCAATGCTAAGGCTACATTCGAATAGTGAGACTAGAAGCGTATGCATAGAACGGAAGGGTGTGTAGCATATTTTCAAAGTGGGGGCGGAGGTACCATAGCAGTAGGCAATGAGCAGGCAATAAAGTAGACGAAACTAGAAAGCAATGTGCCAGACAAAAGAGAAAAACATGCAGGATGCGCGAGGTTGATATTGAAGATGGATGACGGTCGACGAGACGGCTGATACAGATATGGTACATTTTAGTGCATTCTATGCAATAGGGTTAACTGATGGTGGATGGAAGCAGCTTGGGGGCATACCGAATTCGAGAACAATCAGAAAAATCAGTGGGTATGTCAGTGGAGCCCCCACCCGGCACCGACCGTGCCCGTCATCGTCGAGCGAAAGCCTGACTCGCGGGCTGCCGCAAAACCAAGCTCTGGCCCAAGGCCGAGGTCGATATCGAGGTCAGGGACAGGCAAATGCATGGCTGGACCAATGCTAGGGCTGCCAAACGCTTGCGGGGGATAGCAGAAGCGGTAGGTCGCGGTGAATAGCACCGACGCTGCGCTGTCATCCTTGACGATCTCTTGGAAGATCGTGAAGCGAGTGGGGTCTGGCACAAAGGGGTCAGCGACTGTCGAACCAGCGGAAACAGAGGAGAGACTGACCTGGACTATCGACAATGACGTTCCAGTAGCGCGGGACAATTTTGGCACTGTAATAATACAGCCCAGCAGCAAAGACATCTCCAGACTCTGGCGCATCGGCCAGGAGCTCGAGCGGGACGGTCTCAGCATGTAGTACAAGACCAGCTGATTCAGAAAGGACGGAGAATCTAGCATGAGCCGAAAGTGGGGCGGGAGAAGTAAACGTGCTGAGAGGATTGATTTGGGAAATGCGGCGTGGATAAGGTGAGGCATGGAAAGAGGATTGCGCATCAGGCAATGCAAGAGAAGCTGTCGATGGGACCGCAAGGTGACTGGGGACGATGTCGATATACATCGTCGTATGGGGAGCGGTAGCTTGGTCAAGGAAAGAACAAGGGCTTGGGGTAGGCGAACCCAAGGAGCTTCCTGCATCGGAGCCTGGCGAAGGCGGTGGCTCACGGAATGGGGAAAGCAAATGCAGGACTGGATAGGGAGGACGTTAGCGCCGCTAGGAAAGAGCGCGACCTGGGCTTACGCTTCTTGCCGCCACAGGACTCGCGAAGCTGTTGTAAGCGGCTGCCGACTTGTTTAGGGGTACGGTGCTTGCCGGTCTTGCGCAAAATATAATCCGAAATAAACCGATTGCGGCGGGGGAAACGCCCAAGCATTCGTGTTTCTCGAGAGTCGTCGGGGACATACCGCTCGAGGCCTGATATCGAGTAGATAGTAAGCCATCGATTTATAGGGAAGGGAAAAAAAGAGCCTCGCCTTCTAATAAGGCCGACTCGAGGTCGAGCGGCCACACGGTCTCTCCACCGCGGGCTGTCTTCCAGGTTTTGCGAACACGGAGGACGGAGCGGAGGACATCACCGGTTTGAGTATTTTGTAGGGCAGACCACGCCTCACGCTCGTTGTCGGTTTTGTTCGGCAGCTGTGGGGAGGTAGGCGAGGCAGAGCGTGAGCCAGCGTACGAGGAGCCGGAGGAAGAGGAGAGAGTCGATAAGGAGGATGTCGAGTCCGGGGGCGACAGCGAGTGGGAGAGGGAAACGGGAGAGGTCGGAGCGGAGATGGCCATCCCATTGTGGGAGCTGGTGGAGGCGTGCCAGTACAACTGCGACATGGAATTCGCTGCTTGAGGCTGGGTAGAACGGCGAGGGCTCACTTTGGGGACAGTCAGAGGGAGTGTCACGACCATACCTCCTTATATAACCGGCCTCGACTTTGATGTAACCCCAATTACGGATTACAGATCTGGCATCTCGAAACGCCCGCCGTGGGAAAGAATGGCTGTCCCGCCCCTTTGGCGCTTCATCTGGCCGAATGTGGAACAAAGACGCGGTGGAAAATAACTAGCGCTAGCTCGCCTGCAGGCTCCAGACACAGATGGCCGTGTATGCGGTGGACACTGGACAGCGCTTCTGCGGTACCAAGCCCCACATACAATCAGCATTAACGTCCCGAGAAGTTTTCGAAGTTTAGCGAGCCGAAGAACGAAGTATGTTGTGTGACTTTCCCGCAATCATGCAGAATATGCGTGTGTAATGTCGGTGGGGGATGCCTACTTTGGACGAGATGCCCGGCGAATCCTCGTCCAGAGGGCCGTAAGAGGGAGAAAGAAGCCCAGTTTTGGCATTAATTCGACAGTAGAAGCGACCGCGACAGCATCATAGCCGGATCCGTTTATGGTAATATTTTGATACGGGGCGACGTGCCGAGGCGTTTGGATCACGGCAATACCGGTCCGCTCCCGCGCCCACCGTTCCGGATGACGGCATTCATTATGCGTGCGAGTCTGAGAGCCAAAAGAAGCCGAGTTATCGCAGGGCCCCGACGAATGGGCGCGGCTGGAGACTTGACTGGGAATGACGCTGGTAGACGATCGGATGATCAACTGAATCATGGATGGAATCTGGCTGAACACGCATGCTACCCTCTCGGGATGACCTTGCGTCCGTTTTGTTCAATGGTGAGTCAAAGATTGTCGGGATTGAGGAACCATCGATGACTATGGCATGACGAGGCGGGGACTTGAAGGCAATAGCGTTTTGAGTCTTGACACAGTTTGCCGCAGGCAGTGCGTGACGATTGATTCAGAAGACAAATGTGTGGAGGCCGGTCCCGGCCGGGAGTCCGGCTCGGAGGGATTGCCAAATCGGGAACAAGGACAAGGCATAGCCAAGTGGTTGACCTTGTGGTGTCGATGGAGCTTGTGTGCACGATGAAGGTTGAATGAATAACACAGGATTTCAGCCATCGGCCGGGGCTGGTGAGGGCCCTTGTTGCGATGACTTTGGGGGGTGGAGAGCATCAGTGGTTTGGCATGGATCCATTGCGGGTGTCGTGCTGAGATCTGAGCCTCGGTGGAAAGACGGGGAGAAGGAAAGTCAATCTTTGACATTGGCTGTTCCGGCCCCTTCCGGGGAGATGTTGACTGCTAAACTAGCTTGTCAGCGGACCGTGTGGCGGCGATACGGAGGACAAACGTACAGCGCGTGGTACCATCTACTGCAATTTTTCATGCACCATAATAGAGAGGAGATATGACACACCGGAGGCCGTCTCCACAGGCTCCCGTTCTTCCTGCCTAGCGCTAGCAGCCTGATTCGTCCAGATGAGTCATAATGACTGGAAAAATTCCAGGACGAACAATAACGAAGAGAAGAGGTTCTGGGCAGTTCTCCGTTCCGTCCCATTGGAGATTTAATTCTGATAGGCGCTCAGTCATCATCGCTCATCTAAGGCAAAAATAGTTGTGGAAGAACCCGTGGAGAACACGCCGCTGGGAAGCTAGACGGCCCGGACGGAGCGGCAGGGAGGGACGGAGGCAATAGGCGGCTGCCAAAGCTGTCGAAGGGTTGCGAAGATCGCAGTGCAGGATCTTCCTCGTTGCAGACAGAGGGTGTCGGTGGGTGACGTGGCAGCGCAGGGCCCACATCCTGGGAGCAATCAATAAGAAACCCCCACAGAAAGACAACAGTGGCCCGCGTATACCTGCGTACATCCTATTTTCTGTAGTCATTGGACTCTGGCGAAGGGCAGTATGACCGTTTCCGGAGAGGGACGCATACGCATCAGACACTCGTGTGATCGTAGCGGATTTGATCGACAGTGACTCACCCGATTCACACGGGGTTGGCCAAAAACGGCTGCAACGCCTCTACAATGAGGACCAAGCGCCACGCCACAGCAACGTTTACTTCGAAGCGCCCAGGCTCCTTGGCCCACGAATACAAACTTGCAACCACACGCCACACGGCGTTTACACTCAATTCCACGTCGGGCACAATCACTCGTTCATCAATGAGTTTCGGGTTAAGAGATTGAAGGCAGCCGCGGGATCGTCGTACTGCCGATTGGTGTCCACGCTGTGCGCAGGCTCAACAAAATAAAACTACGTGCAAAGCAATGAAGCCCCGTAATCACCGCCAATGTCTACTGCTATAGGCCGCGGTGATTGGCTGGCTTGCCGGAACTTTTCGACGGATCGGTCCGTGCATCTTCAGGCATCAGTAATAATTTTTCTAGGGAAGATTTCATTTGCGACCGGTCCACCTGTAGCGATGACTCTGGTAATGATTGTGCAGATGCGTTAAATCAAGTCAAATACGACCACTATTGAAAGATCAATTGAGAAAGAAGGACGAAACGAATCACGAATAACTCACCCTGGAACGAGTGCTCTTTCACCGCCAGCTTTCCATCCCAAACTTGCTTCCGGACCTGGACATTTACCTTCTCCTCCTCGAAATCATTCCGGGCATCGAGATCTGGATGCCACAGTTCGTGCACCGTTATCTCCGTGCCTACGCGAAACTGCGCTCCGTGGACAGATGATGCAGGAAATATCACCGGGAGATCATAAGAGCGTGTCGCGTTGCGATTGACAATGGCAAGGCGGACCTATCCTCAGTTAAGAACGTGAAGCCGCAAATGCACTGTGAGCGTACCTGCTTTCCGTCTTCGGACAAGACCCCGCTGACGTCGATCCATTTCGTCAATTTCAACGAGCTTGGGCTGTGCCCTGCGAGCTTGGCGATGAACGCGGGCTCTGTGGGGCCGCTATAATAGTCATCATCCGTCTCTGTGGTGCTGTGGATCGAAAGAGATGTCCCCTGCATCCAATTGGCGAAGAGGTGGAGTGAGTAATACGACGTCTATTATGTCTTCATCAAGAAAGGGCTGACGAAGAACAAGACACAAACCTGCTTGAAGAGGCTTGTCGGGGAGGTTATTATCTATCGGTGATTAGTCAAGGGCCATACTAGCGGATCCCATCGACCCACGGGCGAAAGGACATTGACACTCTGAGCGATACACGCGAACTTGACAACGTCTGCTTTTCGAATGAAGACGTTGAGCCATGAAGCGACAGCTATATATATTAATTAATCAGCGTCAAACACAAATACAGAGCGTCAATTCACCAAGAGCGTCGCTGAAATTGTAATGCATCTCCGCGCCTTTCTCACCGGGCGCTAAAGGCGGTATTAGCATCTTATTCTCTCATTCCAACAGCGTAGTACCCCGAATCGGATCCCTATGAAGATTTTCGACTCGATGGCTCTTGAGAGATAAAGTGCATACCAGACGTTCCACTCATCATAACAACTAATCCCAATGTCAATGTCATGCTGGCATGGAAGGAATGCATATATTTACGCACACTGTAATTTCCTTGTCTAACCCGTGCTCGATTAAGGCGAGGTCGATGAGGGATTTCGATATTTCGATGCCCTTTTCAGCTGCAACGGCTTGTGGGTTAAATAAGTCAACATGTAGCACAGAACAGGGTCGAAATGACACACGTCCCATGACTGTGGCTTCGTGGTTGTTACTGGGGGTGTAAACTGAGCGGAGTGCCATGAGATTGAATGAATGAAGCCGGTTGGAAAACCCACGATGAATAGAATGGTAGTCCACCACGGGCGCCAACGTCTTCAACGTTATCCAATCCCAACTAGAGAATCCGGTTTCTGTTCTGGGTGAATAATAGCGACAGAAGGTCGGATAGATTGGTAAGCTCACCTCCGCAGCTAATTATCTGGATGGTCGGGTCGAGCAATCGCATGGCTTTCGCCCATTGAAATGCCCTCTTGGCGTAATCCTCTGCGGACATCTGTCCGACTTGCCACGGACCCCAGACCTCATTACCCAACGACCAATATTTCACACGGTATGGCTCTGCGTGGCCGTTTGCACGTCGGAGATTGGCGAAATGGGTAGTGGCAGAGCTAGGAAAGGTTAAAGCAAAAAGCGGAGTACTTCGAGCTGCGCACCTATTGCAATATTCAAGCCAAGCCAGAGCGTCTTCAAGGGTCCCAGTCCCCATGTTGAGGCAGATGTACGGCTCGGCCCCGAGCTCCTTGCACCACGCCATGAACTCGTCCGTGCCAAACTGGTTTGACTCCTCTGTGAGCCATGCGAGCTCGGGGCGCCGTGGTCGAAGATGCTTTGGGCCAATCCCATCTTGCCAGCGGTATGTGCTGACGAAGTTCCTGCATCGCAATGAAGACAGAACGAGAATGTGAAGCGGTCTTGACGCACCCACCAGGGTACCGGACGACAGGCACCTTCAATTCCTTCAATGCAGCTAGAACGTCTTTTCGGAAGCCCTTCTCGTCGACTAGAGCGCTGTTGTCTGGGTCGTAGATACCGCCGTAGATGCATCGTCCCATATGCTCTGTGAAGCCGGAGTAGATTCGCGGGTCGACCGGCGCGATTTTACGAGCGGGGTCAACGTGAATGGAGGGGTCAGGCATGCCTGTATCGATGGTATCGATGCTGGTGAGAGCGCGCGGGAGGGAAAGAGAGACGCGTTCAGTCTCATGACTGACAAGGAGGAGGAAAAAGTGACGTGAGAAGCGTCACTGATGGATGACGTGGTTTCTTTCGTACCAACACGTAGGCTCGAATTTGGTTGTTCTGACGGCCCGATCTTCAGGAAATGCTCAGGTGTGAACGAGACTTGATTCGCATATCCCTCATTTTCATCTTCTTACACAGTTCCTCCATCCACCGTCACAACCACCGACTCACTCAGGCTGACACATCAGTGACAGTTTTGTGCTCAACGCGGAAGCTCATCGGAGAAGCCATATCCAAGCCATATCACTATTCAGTCCCAAGAACTGTCCGGGAAACTGAATTCCGCGCGGTCCGTTGCAGCCGCCCTGTGTGGCACGCGACCCATTGACGTACACCTCCCGCCCCACGCGTCGCGCCGGCCGCATACAAAAAGAAAAGAAATCGCATGGACTTCCAGGCACTGGCACACGCTCTCTTCGCCATCCCGATACCATGCCCCTCTCTCCGAAGATATATACCTGGCTTTGTGGCCTGTTTGCTAGCTTGGGAAGCATCATCTTTGGGTGAGTGGCCAGTTTGAAGCTACAATGTACTGAAATTTGTAGATATGACCTTGGCGTTATCGCAGGAGTAACCCCTGCACCGGACTTCCAGAGAATCATGGGCTCGCGATGGGAGAACACCAATTTACAAGGCTTGGTCGTCAGTATCTTTGGTGTGTTCCCTATTCTTATCGGGTCTTCGGCCACTCTTTAGCTATGATAGTCCTTGGATGTTTCTTTGGCATGATCCCCGTTGCATATGTAGCCGACCGCTTCGGAAGGAGGCACACCATCCAACTCGGGGCGTTGGTTTACATGTGCGTGTCTCCTTCATCCTCAGTTACAATGTTTCATCTGGGAACCAGGCTCGGAGGGGCGCTCCAGACTGGTGCTCACAACATGGACATGATGCTGGCCGGCCGTTTTTTTGCGGGGTTTGGTGTCGGTATCATGTCTGACCTCGCGCCGTTATATCAAGCCGAAATTGCGCATCCGAGTATACGAGGAAGATTGACGACGCTGCAGCAGGTGGGCGTTTACCGTGTCTTCAGTGCCTCTGAATCACACTGTTTGTCCTCTAGTTCATGCTAGGAATTGGAGCATTTGTTGCTTCTTGGGTGGTGGGTTATTCGTCAAACTGAGATGTATATGCTGACCTGAGCGTTCAGACATACGGCTGCTCGGCGCGGCTTAAGGGTCTTCCAGCAGAATGGCGTATTCCCCTGGGTGTCCAGGCTTGTATTGTTTCCTCCTGAATCGGTTGCAACTCACAGATTTGCAGATAATTCCTGCCATCCCACTGTTCTCCTTCATTCTTCTCCTTCCGGAATCGTACGTGCTCAACTTCTGTTTCTCCCAGTGTTGAAAACTTACCCACAGCCCCCGCTGGCTCGCTGAAAATGGACGCTCTGCCGAGGCTCAGGCAACTCTCGCTCGCTTACATGCCAACAACGATCTCACTGACCCCTTTGTCCTGGCACAAATGAAAGATATCGACGCGGACATTGCGCGGTCGAAGGACATTGGCGCCGCCACCTGGGGCGAACTCTTCACTGAACGCAGTAACTTCCGGAGAGTGGCATTGGGATATATCCTCCAGTTTTCCGTGCAGATGACCGGCGTCAGTGCAATTCAGTATTATTCGACAACCGTGCGTAGCTCTTCGACGCGATCTCACATTGGAATTCATTTTTCCCAAATCAATTGTTAGATTTTCAAGACGGTCAGCTTCTCTTTCTGTTCAAGTTCTGAATAATTTGGTTGAGGAGTCTAGATGGGGTTTTCATCCACGCGCATCCTCCTCTTTCAGTCTATCAACAGTGTTATTGCGCTACTCGGTGAGGCAGCCTGCGTTATCTGGATTGACGCAACAGGGAGGAGGAAACCTATGATCGTCGGCAATATCGCCTCTGGTTTGTGATTGTTGATGTTCTTTCGACTGTCTGACCACCATTCAGGTTTGTCATTTGTTGTCGGCTCTATCCTCATGGCTCGTTGGCCGGGAACCGTCAACAAGTGTGTTCTAGACTAGGTTCCCGTTACTAACAGGACTGACTGCCTGATAGCAATGCGGTTTGTTGTTTACATTAATTGAAAATTACGACTGATATGGGACTGCCTATATTCTAGGCCCACTACATCTTTATTTGTACGTCTTCGTCCCATCTTTTGATGATTCTTAACTCAACCCTATAGTGACGTTCGTCTGCCATGTCTCTCATATCGTTTTTGCTACTCATAAAACCCACTAGCACATGGGTTTTCAATTTCTTTTTCAGCGCATGTATCGGCCCACTATCGTGGGCATATCCGGCTGAGATATAGTGCGTCGCCTCCGTGCCGTCTTCGTAACTATGTCTGATCTGCCACAGCTCGACGAGGACCCGTGCAAAAGCTACAGCAATAACTAGCTCAGGATCATGGATCTCCAACTTGTAGCTCGCATCTGCCTGAAGTTTTCTTGCCCTTGAATAACATTTTACAGTTTCATTGCCCAGGTGACCTCACCAGCATTTAACACCATCGGTTGGAAATACTGTTCGTCGCACTCTGGTTTTTCCTTTCTCTCTTAGTTAACATACCATAGACCTTGTCTTTGCCATTTGTGGACACACGAAGTATGTGATCGACTTGGGTGGTTTTGTTCAGCTAATGGCAATCCATCCCAGTGCACTATTCATCTGGGCATTTTACCCCGAGACGACTGGCCGTCGACTCGAAGAGATGGACGCCCTCTTCCAGAACGCGCCTTTGTTCATCCCGGGAACACCGTACACCAAGGTCGGCGACCGATTGGCTGCAGAGCGTGAGCTTCGACAGGGTGTGTCTGCTTCTCGCGCGACGACGCCAGGCTCAATGGTAAACATATTCATAGGTACATTCCGCCCCGGAGATCTTACGGAACACGGCAATGTTGAGGGCGACGTTGATGTGGAGGCGGGGAAGGAGAGCACGGAGAAGATCGAGTGAAATACATCCGTGATGTGCGAAAACAGTTTCATGCAACCGTTCACTCCGGACATGAGGTAACCAGGCATCTACCAGATTCAGTCTTTCTTTGGCGTCGCTTTGGAAGGTACCTTGAAGTGCCATTGAGCGGCGATTGAGGATGGTGGGACACGCCCGTCGCCCACAGCGCGCCAAACAGTTGGCCAGGGCAAGGGACGAAAGGTCAACGTGATATACACATTCAAAAGAGCCGACGCGCAGGCGGCGATTCGGGGGTGATGATTTGCGTTGCCTGCGAGTGCGATTTAGCCACTCAAGACGACCAGGTTCGCGGGCGAAGCATATATTACTTAGCTGAAAGACAAGGTCAGCAACCTACGGAAACGGCGCATAGGGCTCGGGGAGCGGATCGACATTTGAAGTGTGGGTTGTGCATTAATATTCGTCATGTCAAAGGCAGGTACTACCCGTCTACGGGATGACAGAGTAGATGACAGCAGAGATTTCCACTGACAGCGTGTCAAGACGCTTATTTCCTGGGGGAACCTCAAATTCACGCAGCACGCATATAAAGGGCGTCGACTGCGTGCTTGGAACGGTGGCACTCTGCGAATACACCATGCCCTCTCTTCGCGCGCTCACCTCTCTGCTCCTGCGTACGTCCGAAACTAGTTCGAACTTTCCCAATGCTGACTCTTCTTCTTGTAGTGGCCTGCTCAGCTCTCGGCGCGCTGCCCCCGCCCCCCCCACCTCCACCCTCTCCACCACCGTTCGGCATCGTCCCCCCGTCTCGGCAGGGGACTCCGCATCCCTTTGCGACGGGTACCGTTCCCAACACAAACGCCATCGCCATCGCACAGACCGTGCCGAAGGTCCATCAAAAGAGCGGCCCGAGTGCCGCTGCGGTGCCGAACGCGCAGGGCATCGTGCCGCCGACGGTGGTCACGGCCATGGACGGGAAGGTGATGAACCCGAACACAACTGTGGCGGCAGTGGCTGGGTCGACTATCGACGCGGCCGGCATTGCGAAGCGCGACGCAACGAAGGACTTCACGAAGCTGTTTGACGGCCTCCCCGCGGACCAGCACGACGGCGCTATCGAGGGCACAGCATACCTGACCTACACGCTTGTTCCGAACAGCACCTACAATGTCGCCGCTTGCCTAGCGTGGTGCGAGACTGTTGACGGATGCGGTACGTCGGGCCGCCCAGCCGAATGATAGATGTATTGATTGATGATTCAGTATTTGTCAACCTCTTCTACGAGTTCAATAACTTCCTACTGGACTTTGTATTCTCGGAGAAATCGAACCTCAAGTGCGCGGCCTACGGAGATATTCACAATGCCACCGAAAAGACGAACTTCGGCGGCCAGCCGTCGTATCCCCAGGTGTGCTCGTTTGCTTCTGGTCCAGCCGCATTAATGACTAATTCGTATAGGTTGGAAATGAGACTGTACCCCTCACATTTATCACACAGAGCAGCGGCTATGCCGCAAACGCGCTTGTCAACCCGGCCACTCCGGACGGTTATGAATTCGTGTTCGGGCCGACAAACGGGGCAAATAACGCACCAGGCGTATGTTCCTCATACAATCCACTGCGACGATAGCTGATCCCAAGTTTGCAGTACATGGGCTTCGCCTTCATCGATCGGTATGATGTCACCGCATGTGCACAGCTCTGCAACGGCCGCGGCGTGGATCCCGTCGGCGGAGGATGTTCTTACTTCAACATCTGGCGTGCTCTCGTCGACGGCGTGCCGACGACATATACTTGTGCCATGGTAAGGCAAATCCTCGGCCGAACCTATTCTCATATTCACCGGTTATAAATAGTATTACCTCGCAAGCAATGCCTCGACGGCCGTTAACACCGGCCAGGGCTCGCTCGCCGTGACATTCTCCCGCGGATACGCACGTAAGAACCTTGTCATCGACGGCGGCTTCGAGGGCTTCGCGGCCTGTGCCGCGACGTCATTCTGCTTCGCGCAGTCGTACGTGAACTGGATCGGCAGCTCCTTCGTCAACGGCACGGTCGGCCATCAGGACACGACTGTCTTCCGCTTCGCGCCGTACGCGCACTTCGGCGTCGGGTCGGCCCTCTTCGGCGCGGCGGCCGGCGATGATGCGCATGCCGGCGTGCTGACCCCGGCGCGCCGGTTGTGCACGCAGCCCGGCGCCAAGTACATCATTCAGAATTTCTTCATCAGCTCGTTCTCCGGCTCGGCCCTCGAAGCGCACGCAAAGGTAGATGTGCTGTGGAACGGAAAACGCGTCGGCGGCACGAGCGGCTTCGTGCAGGACTACACGTTTTTCCAGAGCGACATCGTGGTCGGCACGGGCAGCGACGCCTTGTCCTTCGTTGGGGGAGCAGCACCGGCCTGGACCTTCCTGGATGATGTGAAGGTGTTTAAGGTTTAAGGTCTAATAATGGCATACAAATACTACTTTTTATCCAGTACTTAGACAATTTATTTTGGGACATTTAGCTGAACTCTGGGTTTGTAGTTCCTTATGTGGTTTAAATGTCTGTGTCTAATGAGAGTTGAGACTACAAGTACTTAGCCTTGGGAACATCAGAGATTAATAATAATAAACTATACTTAGCAGGGCCAAGCAATCAGATGGGCTGATGGCATCTGTGAGAAATGGTTCACAATATACTGTAGTATTTTCAGTGATCGCCCTAGGTTCCCTATTTTAGAGGACAAAGTTATGGGAAAAGTACTTTGCAAGGGAAGCCATGTTAGTCCACATTGTTATGATTATTGGTTATTACAAAACTGCTTGTTCAAGTAAGGCCTTAACTTTCTTAGCCCCTCCCTAGGGAGATCACCAAGTATTTTACCCTGTTGATGAGCTGAGAAATGGAGGACATCTAGAAATTTATCAAAGGGGCTAAATAATGTCTAGCAGGAGAGGATCCAAAGAGTGAATAATGGTAAGCAAATACAAAGGGAGCTGACCTAGTAGGGGAGGATCCAAAGAGAGGAAACTCTAAGCATCCACCTGCTAGGTAGCTGAACTATATACTGCGCTCTTGACATGCCAAGATTGTATCTCCGAGTCTTGAGGGCATGTTCTGACACAATTTTTTCCCCTTTCATTCTTGTCTCTTCCAGTCAATTTAAATGCTCACTCATAGATCCGGTAAATATACAAGTAATTATAAATTCCACAAAGGAACTGTCACGGATAAGACCCGGCCCGTCCGCTCCGGCGCTGGTGTCGGGCCACCGCGGGCCTGCAACACGCAGCACGTGACGACGGGGAACATGTGCCCCAGTAGGAGGAATGCACACGTGGGAAGCACGTGACCGAGAACGACGTGTCGAGCCGTTGCCAAGCCCAACTCGACACCAGGGGACTGGGGAGGAGTGCTAGGAGGTTAGGAGTAGCACCTGACCTGTAAGGGATGTACGATCGTCCCCTCTGCGGCCAGGAACGGGGGCGAGGAGAAGCAGGATATATAATGTGCGATAGCGTACCATGTACTCTATCACTTAGATCGTATCACCGACTCATCAGGCCCGACACGACCTAATTCGAACCTTCGACCACCAACAGCAGCAAGGGACCGAGTTAACGGGCCCTTTCAGTCTTGATCTACCCCGCTCGCCGTACTTGCGGGCCTGACGATCTGTCTGTTCTGTTCCGGGTGCGTGTTCTTAGGAGAAGACCTTGCACGGCCTGACCCGCAGTCTGACAGTTTGATCATTGCTCCGTGCAGTATGCCTGCGCCATGTCGCAGGCCAGGTCCCAGGGGGATCGCCAGGCAGAGGCAGTGATGCAGTTGATGGAGGCGGTGATGCGAGCACCACAGTCAGAATCGGGGCGATTCAGGGCCGAAAGGGGGTTCCCCTGACATCACCCCCTTTGAATGTGGCGTCCCAATGCATAGACCAGAAAGGGATCATGACAAAGGTTGCGGAGGCGATATGCCATGGTTTGCCAGGGTACCTACAATATAACTGTGCGATTTTGTCCGGGGCGAAGATGCGGTCGAAGCAGACCCATTGGTTGTGCGACGCATCATGGCCTTTCCACCTGACAAAGTAGTTTAGCCGCCTATACCTGATCCTAGCATCCAAGATCTCTTCTACTTCTCATTCCAGGACTCTGTCCTCGGGGTCTGGAGGGAGCTGGTTGTAGCCGGGGCATCCATTGAAGGGGTCGTCTTGAGTGAGCTCAAGCTTGACAATAGGGAAGACTGGGTGGAGCTTTGAGTCGAGTGGAGGGAGGTCGAGCTTGTAGGGACCTTTGCTAATCTCCGCGACTGCCTTGAAAGGTCCGAGGCGGTGGTGGGAAAACTTTTCCCAGGGACGAGTCATCCTAATATCAGAGGAATCCAGCCAAACACGGTTGCCAACCTTAAACTCCGGAGACGGAGTGTGTCTCCGGTTGTAGTAGTCCTTGTACTCCTCTTTGGCCTTAGTGAGCGTGGCCTTGGCTTCAGCAACACTAGTGGTAATCCAGTTGCGGAGCTCGTTTACAGTCTCCATAGCAGAACAGACTCCGGGTTCGAAGCCCATGCGTGGGAGTCATCCTGTGTCCATCACAAAGGGGACTTGCTGCGTGGAGGAGTGACTATGGTTGTTCTAGGCCAACTCCATGGCTGGAATCAGCTCATCCTAGTCGTCCGGCTGATAGTTGTTGAAGATCTGCAGGTACTGCTCCAATTCCTGATTGACATGATTTGGTTCCCCAAAGTTGATCTAAAAAGTATTTTACTCATTTCGAATGTCACACGTTGATGAGCTTGTAAATGGAGCACATCTAGAAACTGATCAAATAGAGCAAATATTATGATTTGAATGCTCTAAATACTTGAGGACATTCCAGACTTATAGCAGGATTAGATGAGTCTAGATAGGTCTAGAGAGCTGGCAGAAAGGCTAAGAATACTAGTTCTAGACCGCTCTAGCAGCACAGCCACAGAACTCGGGCCTAGACCTGAACCAGAACCATTGGTTGTGGGAATAGAACATCCCAATATAGAAGATTGATTGTCTAGAATATTCTAGAATGCACAGCCACAATGACTCCAACTGAGTCATACTGACTCCAACTGAGTCATAGTGCTTCTTTTGTCACATCATTGGTTTAATTGTCACATTACATAATTAATTTCTGAGTAGTATATAAGGAGCTTGATTGTAGTAGATAGATGAAAGAATCCCACCCCACCTATTACCATATTTGGCAAGGAAGCAAGGCAGCTAGGTCACAAGTGTGACAACCAGGTAACCAGGAAGCAAGGCAGCAGTCAAGTTAGGTTAAGTTAGGTTAAGCAAGTGCAAGTGCAAGAACAAGGAAGCAAGGGATCTTGTTTATAGGAAACAAGTGGCCAGGAAGCAAGTTTGTTTGCATATTTGAGTTAGTATCTTCTGTCAAGAACAGATACATTCTCTTGTTCATTTTGTGAAGCACTTTGGAGGTTGAGCTTGATTGTTCCTTCTTCTGTGTTTCATAACAACAGTACAAAAGTGATCTGTAGAAAGTTCTCAATAAGCAGATTCTTTTGCTATATTTGGATATTCTGAATCCGTTAGTTGTTTCCTGCAACTCGAATCCCCGAACACACACATACACAAACAAATAGTGGATTAGTAGATTAATAGGGTTGAGGTCTTGATTGAACTCCTCTATTAGTTCACTTTATCAGTGTATTAACGTCACACTGCCGCTATCATACAATTGTCTTTTCGCATGTCACACGAATTTGAGCAAAATCACGGCCTAAAATGGTAATTCTTGACATTTCCAGGCGCCTTCCGGTGCCAAGAGTTGCCTAATCAGGCAATTATACGAATTCAAATTTTCGTATGCGATGTCACACGTAAATGCCATTTGAATTGAGTAAAATACTACAGTAGTTTTTATATAAATTTTCTTTTTTTACTGAAAACTAATGCTAAACTGGCTGAATTTTTTTTTCTTTCTAAATATAAAAACTTGTACTTTTCAAATCAACTTTTGGAAGCTAAATTCACAGTAAACTCTGGAGTGTGCACACTTCGGAGTTTAATGTGATTTTTTCTCCTAAAAGTTGATACAAAAAGTACTACTTTTTGCACAAAAATCATTTTTACCAGAAACAAATGGTTTCTGCAAAGGGAAACCAGTTTGTATCAAATTTTCCCTTTGCGGAAACTATTTGTCTTCTGTAAAAATATTTTTTGCACAAAAATTAGTCATTTTTGAATCAACTTTTGGGAGGCAAAATCATGGTAAACTCCGGAGTGGGCCTAGTCCTCTTATCACATCACTTTGCCCCCTTCCCCCTTGGGTTACTTGGCTCCTGCCTGTCTTGTACCAATGGTTATTAGCCTATAGTCACATCTTACTGTGACCTCTGACGTCTAGGTGTGACCGTAACCGTGACAGTCACAGCCTTATTCGTGACATCAGAAGATTATAGCAGTTACAGAGGTACATGATGTGGGTTTTTTGTGGGTTTAGAGAGTTCATTGGGCAAAGAGGACATCGCCATTTCAAAAGGGGGCACCTGTAGTAGGGTAGATCAGTAGCACGTGACCATCGATATGTTACCCTGAGCCACCACCTCTGTCCGCCCGACCCACTCCAGTAGGCAGCAGTAGCCACATAGGCCCTAAAGGGCATGAGCGCTAATACTTCTATACATCTGATTTCTCTCTAAATACCTATTATAGCTAATTTCTCTCTCTCTCTCTCTCACACACACTCTCTTCATGAACCTTTCATTTATGAGAACAGTGTTGTATTTTTTAAATAGATGTTAGTATTGTAAGTCTGGAACAAAGTGATTTTCTACGCTTGATCTCTGCCCTCGCGTAATTTCGAGAGTCGTGACGTCGCCGTTACGTGACGCGAGCCCTCTTGCGGCTGACGTCCATCTATCGCCGTGGCCGTGAAGCGCGACGACGCTGCGCCTGCCGCTGCCGTGCGGCGTGTGCAGACGGTGACGGCTGCAGTGGAGTCGACTGTCGATGGTGCGAGATGGGTGGATGTCATGCAGTGGGCAGATGGGTTGATGCCGGCAGCCGGGTGGCTGGGCTGGGCACGTCAGGCTCCACACGAATGCGAAAAACAACACGCGAAGGTGCGGCGTCGCCGGGTGCTCTCCTGTTGGCTTTACATCAAGGGGGTGTCACGTGTCAAAAAGTGACAACCGGGATGGTCGGTCGGTCCCCCCTCCGGACCCTTAAAAATTTTTTTTGGTAGAAACTTTTTTGGCTGAAATGGTAAGTCAAAATTGTCTTAAGATGGGTTACAAGTACTGTTTGGTGCACTATACATCCATAATTAAGTATCAACAATCTCACAAGTGGTTATTTTTCAGTATCTCATCATTAGATGGAACATTGTGACAAATCAGACCATATGGGGATGGATATCTGTACTCTGGAGTGAGATTTGTAAGACAATGACTATATCAG